CGATGGATTTTGTGTTGGGCTTGCCGCGAACCCAGCGGGGGGTTGATTCGGTTTTCGTGGTGGTTGATAGGTTTTCCAAGATGACTCACTTCATTCCGTGCCGAAAGACTTCTGATGCGTCTCACATTGCGAGACTGTTCTTTCGAGAAGTAGTCCGTTTACACGGCGTACCGAAGACAATCACATCCGATCGAGACGTGAAGTTCCTTAGCCATTTTTGGCTTGTCCTTTGGAAGATGTTTGACACCTCCCTCAAGCGAAGCACCACAGCACATCCGCAAACTGATGGGCAAACGGAGGTGACTAATCGGACTTTGGGAAATTTGATACGATGTATTTGCGGCGATCGCCCGAGGCAATGGGATCATGCTTTACCACAAGCGGAGTTTGCCTACAATAGCGCTGTGCATAGCGCCACTGGAATGTCTCCTTTTGCGTTGGTTTATAGAGCAGCTCCGAAGCATGCAGTGGATTTGATACGCCTCCCTCAAGAGCACCGAAAAAGTGTGGCGGCTGAGCGACTGGCTAATGAAGTACGAGACGTCCAAGCAGAGGTTAAGGAGAGGCTCGAGCAAAAGAATGCCAAGTATAAAGCTACCGCGGACGAGCATCGCAGGCTGAAGACTTTTCATGCGGGGGACGATGTCATGGTATTTCTTCGAAAGGAGCGATTCCCGGTGGGAACGTATAACAAGCTCAAGCCAAAGAAGTATGGACCGTTCAAAGTCCTTCAGAAAATTAATGATAATGCTTACGTAATCGACCTCCCGGCTCACATGGGTATTTCGAAAACTTTCAACGTTTCGGACTTATACGAGTATCAGGAGAATACCCCACTTTATCCCGATACAAGCTCGAGGTCGAGCTCTTTCGAAGAAGAAGGGATTGATGCAGAGGTGGCGGAGTCGGAATCATGAACCGTGTCGCAGATGCCCTAAGTCGGCGAGCTGCATGTTCTGCGTCAATTCCTAATACTGTGCTGCTAATCATATTTGTTCTACAGAAATTCTAAAGCTTTACGCATAGTGAGTCAATAGCAATAACGATAATCCGTCAAATGAAAAACACGGAACATATTCTAAAGCTTTACGCATAGTGAGTCAATAGCAATAACGATAATCCGTCAAATGAAAAACACGGAACATAATCTGTTTAATATGGTCCATTAGAACTTCTTCCGTGAAAACAATTTAAAGTGACTAAAGTGAGTCAGAGACAGTTTCTTATTCAAAATGACTATCATCAGTTACGTTATTCATTAGAAGAAAGAATAGCAATAACGATATTTGATTTCATAAAATGTGTAATGTGTAGTAGACTTTTAAAATTTAAGCAATTATGTATCAACTGTAGTAGGGAAAATGGTTAACTTGCCTCGTTTATCTCATCCGGTAGTATTTTCTTTCTCTGCTTCTTGCCTTTTCCTCTGCTCGTTTAATTACAGCACCAGCTTGAATCCCTCCGACAAGAAATCGTCCCTGATAAAAGCAGAGGTGAGTAAACAGTCAAAAACAGATTATCACATACAAAAACACTACATTGAAGAAGTTGATTTTTTTTATTTTCTTTTTTGTGTATCAAATATTCTCAACAAAGTCAATTTTGCAAGCCAATACTTTTAGCATTAATCTGAAGCATAGAAACTTCTCTCAAAGGTATATATATATTATTTTGGCTCAAATAAAGAACAAGTGTTTATATATAGGGTAATGACTTATTCTAAGAGGATGAAAAACATACTGAGAAGAAGCCAATGATGTACAGGCCACATGAAATTCGAAGCATAAGAATAAGAAATTCATATTTGGCTGACTCGGTCTTGCACAAGTCAACACAAGAGATGGACAGATCATAAAAGTATTCACCTTTTATTCCTGATCTTCTTTCCCTTGATCTTTTCTCGTCCGAGTTTCTTCACCGTACGAGGTCCGTCAGGCGAAATAAGGCTCTCGACACAAGGTTCAGCGTAAAACACGAAAGGCATACCATCCACCAAAACATCTTCAATACTTTTCTTTTTCAAATCATACCAAAAAAGCCTCTTGTCTTCGCAATTCAGCAGAATCTTATCTCTGTCACCGGAATACGCAAGCGGCTTCACGAAATCACCCTCCTCGATTAAAGGAGGACAAATCGAAACTAGTTTAGTCCACGATTCCTTCACTCCATACTCATTCATCACCCAAATAACAGCACGCGATCTGTTAGTACAAACCAGACAAAGGCGCCCTTCAATGATATCCAAGTTCAGTTCGAAAATTCTTGTCCGAAAGCCAGGCGGCATTGCCACCTCGTAATGCTTCTCGCTCTCGATGCTAAAAGCCATAATCCTCGCCCTGTACCCACGATCGTATTCCTCCACCAGCGTGTGCATAGCTCCGCTAACAAACGCACGCCAGTGCCCCTTCAGAAAGGGCAGCGGGTAAGGGAAATCCTCGATTTCTCTCCAGGAATTGGACTTGAGGCCGTAGATCATAGTCTTCGAATTCATCCACACATGGCTGCTTTTATTCCTGTACTCAACTACCCTGACGATCTTGTAATCATCGTTTATCGAATCGTATCCAAAACCACATGTGGTTTTCGTGTAATATTCGTCCACAGTAGGGTATTCGGCCGAACACTGCGGCAAAACCTTGTAATCTCTAGAAAAAGGGTTCCACAAAACAGGTGGATCGCTAATCACAAGAACTATACCGTTGCAGGAATTCGAGATGCAGTCGACCGTCTTGTAGTAAAACGGCGGTTTGACGACGTGAGCCTTGTCGAGTGAATCCAAGTCAAGCGTGTAAACGGCGAGCCCTCCGAGCACAAGACTCCGGTGTGAATTCGACGCCACCGACTGAAGCAGGTGCATTTTCACGAAATTCTCGCTGTCTATGAGAGAACACCACAGCTTCGCGACGGCGCGGAACCGCTTGAGGCTTTTCACGGGGAGACGGCGGAGGATGTCCTCGACGAGCTCAAACGGTAGAGTTGCCATTTTCACCGAGCCGATTTTGCAGTGAAAAAATTAGGGTTTGTGGATCTATTCGATTGAATCGAAAACACAAAATATAATTGGGGGAAAACTTTAATTTAGTTTGTGTATAGCTACAGTTGTATCACAAATCCACCTAAACAAACAAATCAGAAATCCAACCTGAACCTCACATAAAAGATATCTGCTGTATCAACGATATTCGCACGAGAAATATATGGTGGTGGAGTGGAAGACGACGACTGAGGAGTGGAAATAGCAATTTCGGTAGCTGCATTTATTGATGGTTTTGGACTCACTTTTCTGTTTATCTTTCTACTTTTACTTTTGACGGCATATTATATATAGTTTTTTCTCTTTCTTTTTTTTTTAGGATAATTCGGCATATATAGTTTAATAATATATTAATTTAGCGCAAAATTAGATACTATGTCTTAAGTGGTAATTGTTAATTTATATTATGTTTGAATTTTTTAAATTTTATTATTTCGTAAATTTAGAGAATTATTACTATGTAAATAAAAGAAAATATTAATTAATAAAATTATGAGTTCAACCACCAACGCGGCTCACGCGTTAGGTTGTTCGGTAAAGATTAAAGTTAAAATAGACAGATACCAAACTCGGTGGCGTGGGTTACTATGTGATAAGTTATTTGCTATTATTTTAACATAAAGAGGTGAATTTTCAATTCACAAGAAATCTACCGCAGGATTAAATAAAGGAAATGAAAACAGAAATGCAATTGGTGGAATCGATGTAGCCAAATTTTTTATTTAATTTAAATATCGACTTAATTATTAATTTGCAATTGATCGTTAAATCAGATAAATAATTAAGGAAACAGCAAAAATATATATAAAACTTGTTAATCAAAATGTTTTTAATTTTTAAAAATAGCAAAATAACTCATAAAATGTTGTGTTTTCGAATTTATGACACTTATCTGAAACGCGGAAACGTAAAGTTCAAATTTTAGTGGTACAAAGTGGTGGAATCAATTATTTCCCTTTGGAAAAAAGAACAAACCTAATTTGGTAAATGGGTCCCAATATGGGCCCCACGTAGACATATTTCTAAATGGGCCTGGGGTCGGCCTGCAGAGGTCCCAATTTAATATGGTGTTGCCCAATGCCCATATTGCCGTCCAGAAACTTCCTAGCACATGCAACTCAAAATCCAATCGATTCTTTAGTTGAATTTCGATTTAAAATTTAAATTACTGCCAATTTGACTTCAATTTTTTTTTTTTAAATAATCCCTAAAAAAATCATACAACAGAGTTTTAATTCAAACAACTCTTGAAAAAAGAAAGTATTGCATTTGGACTTCAATTACTGGCAAGAATTTGCATAAAGAAAAAAAGGGCAAATATATTTTCATTTCACTTGCCCAAAAGTGAAATCAGATGAATTCCAAAATTCAAATCCTGCCCAATTTCTCAAATTGATTGCTAGGCTTATCAATAGTACTAAATTACAAACCATAAAAGCTATGTCCAACATTTATTATCAGATATTGAAAATCTCTAAAAAGCATCCAGAAAATGCTTTATAAAAATGAAAAAAAAATAAAAATAAAAATAACAAACAAAAAAATGGCCTTTAAATTGAGCATATTCCTCGTAGCCGTTGAGTTCTTGTTGGTGGCGTACATTCTATTGGACATCTACGCTGCAGTGTTTATTGGTCCGTACGACATCGTATCAGAACCAGAAGACAGCGTTATCGGACTTAACGCAACAAACGAGGATCCTAAGGTTGTTGGATTAGGAATGTTTGCCGTTGATGAATACAACAAGTTGACGAATAGCAATCTGAAATTCCAGAGTGTGGTCAAGGCTTTATATGTGCAATCGAACTACATGCTCTTGATCCAGGTCATGGATGACACTTTCTCCGCATCCAAACAGTACGGCGCCGTTGTGAACCGGCGAGGGGATCGGATGAGCCTCCTCGCCTTCGACGAATATAACATGTAATCTGCTATTTGATTATTGGAATTTAATTTAGCCAATCCTCCTTTTTTCAATTTTCTTTTTTAATTTAGTGGTGAATTACTGAATTTAGGAGCGATGCGTACAATCTACGTGGGTCAAAATGAAGGTTGACCATAAGTTGACCATATTCAATTAAAAAGGTGTATAGAAAATTAAACAAATTATAAAATTTAATTAATCTGTTTTTTTTTTCAACTGGGCATTTAACAGGTTTGAGTTTGGCACTGAAGTTTCTGTCAAATGAAATTAATTATAAGATAAATTAATAGCTCCTTCATTCATTATCAAATAAATTTGGATGTGATATGCAAATATTGCATAAGAATGATAGTGTTTTTTTTAAAAAAAAAAAAAAAAAAAAAAACTATCAACACAACATATAAATTATATTTTGTATATAATTGATGAGGCCTAAATGGCCTTACTAATAATAAAATGGAACGAGTCCGGGGAGTAAAGAGAGGACGTGAAAGAAAACTCGTCTAAGAAAGAGCTCAACTGCTTTAGAAGACCTGCATAAAAAAATAATGTGTGAGGTTTAAAAAGTATCGTGTGAGGTTTTTCTGTTATTATCACACTAACGGTCAAGTCAATTAGATGAAGTGGAAAATGATATATCTTTCAAAGACGTAACGAAAGATATATTGAATCTAATATTCATAGAGATGGGACCCTTTTTTTATTTTATGTTCCACGGATGTATTTATACATGACATAGGGATGACTTTGTTGGGACCCCTGTATTATCAAGCAATGATGCACGTGGAAAGCGACCGAGTGACGTGACTTGCAGCGAGCTCCTTTTACCTACTGAAGGCGGGATACTTTCCTCTTCCAACGACATCGGTCGTTTCGTAGTTGCTCTTAATTGTCTTAAGCGAGCTCGTTTGTTGGTTGGTGAGCCTCCTTTCAGTCCATGTCATGGTGCAAACTTTCCACCTACGTTTCTAATATTGTGCCAAATGTGATCACATCCGCCCCTTACACGTGTCACTTGCGTGATTATTTGATAAGGCTTAAATAGTGAGACGATTTAAGTTTCCATAAAAAAAAAAAAAAAAAAAAGTTGAGACGGTTTAATTTGGGCCGTTTTTGGGCTTTGTGTATGACTTTCTTTCAATATGGGCTTCTGGGAAATGAGCCCATATCAATATAATAATTCAAAATATTACTACAACTTTTTTTTGTTTAATTTTGAGAAATTAAATTAAATATTGGTATAGCATTTGCAGTATTTGGCCCTTGGCAAATATTTTTTGGGATCAAGTGTCAAACATCAAGTTGAGTTGATGAGGGACCGACAAGGGATGCATTGTGGGCTTAGTATTTGGGGTCGTATTTCCTCGTCCATATACGTGTCCAATTTGGACTGTTTGTTTTTTTATTATTACTAGTATTTCACCCGTGCGTTGCACGGAGGTCAGTTTCAAAATGAGAAAAATAAATTTACTTAAACGACTATCTCTTTATAACAATACCAATTTAAGTAAAACAAAATGGAAGGAAATAAAATACATAAACTTTATCTCTTAATTTAGATTTAACATATGAAATAAAGTTAAATATTACAACTAAAAAAACATGAAGCGTGCAAAACACGATATCAAGATTAAGTGAAATCATTTAAAACATGTGGTATAACTCTATTTCTTGGATTGCAATCTACTACACCATGTGAATTTTCTGCAAGATTAAGTGAAATCATTTAAAACATATGGTATAACTCTATTTCTTGGATTGAAATCTACTACACCATGTGAATCTTCTGCAAAATAACTAAGGTATCAACAAACACAGTAGCATAGAAGTAACACAATAGTTATTCAAATAACATGCAATTTTATCACTAACGACAATCAATTAGTGATGCACATTACTCAAACAACAATAAAACTTATAAATATTGCAAAAGAAATATGAT